GTTGGTTCTATACCTTGTTTCTGAAAATCTTGAACAATTCAAGTGTTTCAGATTTATGTCTCATCAAGTAGACATAACCGTACCTACTGAAATCATCAGTAAATATAACAAAGTACAAAGTAAACCTCCTCTAGCGGGTGAGCTCATAGGACCGCATACATCACTATGTATGAGTTCTAACAACTCTGTAGCCCTTTCTCATTTTCTTGAAAAAGGAGATTTTGTTATCTTGCCCATCAAACAAGAATCGCACGATTCGATTGATTCATAATCAAAAGAATCAAGAAGTCCATCAGAATGAAGCTTCGCTATGCGTTTCTCATTGATGTGACCAAGTCGACAATGCCAGAGATAGGTCGGATTTAAGTCGTTCGTCTTAAACCGCTTGGTACTAACGTTATAGATTGAACTGTGTCTAGACGGTTTATCATCCAAAATATAAAGGCCATTAAACAGGTAACCATTACCATAAAATAAAGCGCCTCTATAAATAGATAAAGTTTTGTTCTCAATGACAAAACGAAAACCATCAGAATCCAAACATGAAATCGAAATAATATTCCTGCTATTTGCAGGTACAAAATAACAATCATGTAATTCTAACACAAGTTCAGAAGGTAAAGTAAGATCATAAATCCCGACAGTCAACGCAGCAACTCTTGCTCCATTCCCGACGCGGAGATCCACTTCTCCCTTCGCCATCTGCCTACTTCTTCTCAGGCCCTGCACACTTCGACAAATGTGTGAGGCACATCCGGTATCTAATACCCAAGATGTAGAAGTAAACAAGTTACCTTCTATAACGAAGATACCTGAAGATGAAGCTTCTGCAAGCTTCTTCTTCTTTTGATCTTCCAGGTAGAGTTTGCAGTTTCTGCGCCAATGCCCAATGGCATGGCAGAAATGACACTCTCCCTTCTCAGCCTTAGACTTAGGCTCGGCGCAACAATTACCGTATTGCCCTTGCCTTTCTTCCTCTTGGAACGCTTCCTTTTATTGGAACTCTTTCCAACCACTAGGACACTTTTCTCGACTTTGATGTTCTGCTCGGCCGATCGCAACATCCCATGTAGCTCGGTCAAGTCCTTCTCCATCCCATGCATGTTATAGTTCATGACAAACTGGTCAAAACTATCCGACAGGGATTGAAGAACTAGGTCTACAGCCAATTCACAACTAACATCGAACCCTAGTCTGTCAAGATCCTCTAGATAACCCTTCATCTTGAGGATATGAGTACTCACGGGTGAACCATTGGTAATCTTACAGTTGACCAGGTTCTTAAGGACATTAAATCGTTCGACCCTCGCCTGTTCCTCGAACATAGTCCTGAGATGCTCGATCATCTCGAAGGCATCAGTTCCTTCGAGTTGTTTCTGCAACTCAGCCGACATTGATCCGAGCATCAGACAGGTCACGTCCAGGTTATCATTGATGTGGTTACGGTAAGCATCTCTGACAGCCCTGGGCGCATTGGCCGCTGGTTCATCCTCAGGAACGGCTTCTTCCAACACGTAGAGCTTCCGCTCATGCCTGAGAACAATTCTCAGGTTGCGGTACCAGTCGAGAAAGTTTCCACCAGTGAGTCTCTCCCGATCCAGAATGGATCGCATGGAGAGATTAGCCAGATTACCTGCAGCAGTCACATTCTACAGAAAAAGACAAACAAATAGACAGAAAAACATGCAAGTCGCTTAGTACACATGCTAACACAAATAATAGATGCAATATGACAAGCTCCCACTAAGAAAAACACCCTCAATGAGTTTCTAAGTGAGCTAGGATCCATATTTCACATGCTTCTGAGTCAGCTAGGGCATGACGCTCAAAAACATGCTATTTAGGTAGACAACACATTGTCAATCACATCCTATGTGATTCCTAGATGAGTATGGGATAGTGATACGCTATCACTGCATGTTCCTCATCCCATCCTTACCATCAGGTCCAAGTCCGACTTGATAACCCAATTCAAGCTCAACCATATTCGAGCTATGAGAATCACGATTTCTCCATACTGCCTCACCAAGATAATCAGGCACGCTCAGCTAGGGCATGACCCGTAACCATGACGATCGAGGCCTTGACAGTTGCTCTACTAATAGACGGTAATAGCTTGAGATTAATCATGAGGAAGAAGACAAAATTTCGGACTTGAGAAGTGTCTGAGGTCCAGTCCGGAGCTGACCAGAATCTGGTCCGCCGGACTGACCTTGGTCAGCTTCTCTGGTCCGCCGTTCTGTC